CGAGGGCCCCCCCCCCCACCGCCCGGGGGGGGGGGGGGGGGGGTCACACGGAAAATACGAGGTCTGTTGTACCAGCAGCAGCCCATCTGCCGGCTAAAAATGCCCCAACCAGCCCACAACAGCGCTTGACTGCGTGAAAAAAGAAGAGACCGTCGGTCCTCGGCAGACGGTGAGGAGCTGTTGATGAGACACCTTTTCAAGGCCACACTGCTGTACCCACATCGGGAGTAAAACACATCGGGAGTAAACCGTCTGTGTGACCACCACACACGGATTGGAGCACCTCCCTACCCGGCAATACCGCCGTAAGGCGCTGAAAAAAAAGTGACGAAATGAACATAAAACAAACAATCCACACCCACTCCAAAAATTACAAAAAAAAAAAAACTAATCTACACGCACTATTTATTATAAATAGTACCTCTGTCCTGACGGCTTCCACGCAGTCGAGAGAGAGCTGCCGCAGCGAGCTGGGGTGGTGATGAAACTGCGATCCCCCTTCTTTGGAGCGGTAGCCCTCGGCCTCTTCTTGGTCTTGGAAGTAGGACAGGTACCCGTCCTGTTCGGTCACGACAACGAACGAGTGTTGACCATGCTGCTATTGTTGTTGTTGGTGGCGATGCTGCTGCAGCGGTTGTTAATTGATGTTGTTGTTAATGCTGTCGGTTTCTGTTGTTGTTGTTGTTGATGCTGATGATGGCGGTGTTGGTATTGTTCATGTTGTTGTCGTTGTTCGTCGATGGTGTTGTTGTTGGTAATGTCGTTGATGCTGTCCTTCTTCTTAATTTTTTTCTTCTGCTGCTGTTGTTGCTATCGTCGTTGTTGCTCTTGTTTGTTGGTGACGGTGGTGGTGCTGTTGACAATGCTGTTGTTCTTGTTATGCATACGATGATGGCAGCAACAACAGCAGCAAAACGAAAAAAACAAGGATGGCAACGACGACAACACCACCCACCACAAACACCAACAAAGGGAACCCTTGCTAACGACAACAACAACACAACCACCACCACCACCATCAAACGCATAGCACAACAATACCCTTCGCAGGTAGGCAGCGTTAGGGTTTGACTAACCCCCCCTTCTCTATTTCATAGACAAAAGAAATAAAATAAATCCTCGAGAAAGCGGTCTAAGCGCAAGCGGGTGGATCTCTCGCTAACCTTGAGGAGGAACCAGCGCCGCCGCCATGCCCCGGACGTGCGGCTCTGACGCTGAAGGTAGCCCTCGCAGTGGATCTGCCGCAGGTGACGCTCGTACCCTTCCAGGCTGCGGGGAACGAAGTAGCTCCTCGATAGCTGTCGCGACACGGGCCTCCCCTCATCTGCAGCCAAGCGGTGACGTCATCGTGGACGAAACGGTATGAAAAAGGAGGAGTCGTTTTTTTTTTTTGTCATCATGGGGAGGGGGAGTTTCTCGATAGTTGTCGCGACACCGGCCTCCCCTCATTTGCAGCCAAGCGGTGACGCCATCGTGGACGAAACGGTACGAAAAAGGAGTATTTTTTTTTGTTATCATGGGGGGGGGGAGGGGGGGGGGAATTTCTCGACAGTTTTCCAGAAACGGGCCTCCCCTCTTGTTCAACCAAACTGTAACCTCATCCTGGACTA